TCTATCTATCTACCTATCTATCATCTATTACTCTTAGACAGCCTTACTGTGTAACCTTGGATGTTCTGGAACTTGCTATGTAGACCAGGCTGGCCTCAAACTCAAGAGAAATTCACCTGCCTCTGCCTCCTGAGTGCTGGGGTAAAAGGCGTGTACACCATGCCTAGTCCCTCATTCATTCATTCATTCATTCATTCATTTAATGTATATGTGTATGTGCAGGAACCATCGGGGACTCAGATCCCCTGGAACTGGAGTTACAGGCAGCTGTGAGATATTGGAAGAACCAAACACTGTCCTCTGAAGCACTCTTAACAGCTGAACCATCATCTCTCCAGTCTCCTCCTTCCCCATTTATCTTTAATAAACACTTTTTAAAAAGAAGTTTTAGGTTTATAGAACTGAGAGTAAAACACAGTTACTTACCTCCTAACCCTCCCTTGCTTTCTTCTGCTGTTAACACCTTCCATTAAAGTGGTAAATCAATAGCTGGTTATACTGAGTCAATATTGCTACATTATCAACTAAAGCCTATAGTTTACATAAGGGTGCACTCTTAGCTGTACATTGAAATAAACTGTTTAAAGGTAAAAATGAATATTTTTGGGGGGGAAGACCCTTTTTGAGGCAGGGTCTTCCTGTAACCACAGCTGTCCTGGAACTCACTATGTAGACCAGGCTGGCCTTGAACTCACAGAGATCTGCCTGCCTCTGCCTCCTGAGTGCTGGGATTAAAGGTGTGCGCCACCACACCTGGCTGGTAAAAATGACTATTAGCTGTTGAAGCCAGCCACAAAGGGCTGCACACAGTATAATTCCAATGCAACATTCTGGAGAAGGCACTACTGTCCAGACAGTAAAGACAGCAGTGGCTGTCAGGAGTTCTAGGACAGGGGCACAGGAAGAATGTACACAGTGAGCTGCTGGAGTCTTTGAGTATTCTATATGTTGATACACTTGTGGCTATCTGTCACCTTACATTTGTCAGACCAGTAAAAGGGATCCTGACATGAAGCATAGCCTTCAGTTGATAATGTGTTAATGTTTATCACTGGTAACAAATGTGCCATCCGGTACAAAATATCCACACAGCACAGGCTGTACAGAGGCCTGAGGAGGGGTAGAAGGAATTTAGGAATTCACAGTACTTTTTACTGAATTTTACTGTGAGTCTAAAAGCGCTGAAAAGTCTTTTTTTTTTTTTAATTATAAAATTGCTAACCACTTAAACTGCCCATTCTATAGAATGAATAAATCAACTGTACTGTCAGTATATAGTAAAAACTACTGGGTAGTCAAATGCATTATAGCTATAAACTCTCAACAGAGAAATCTCAAAAACATGAATGCTGAGTAAAGACAAGCAATTTTCTGGAGAGAGTTAAATGTTAACGTGAAGTAAAACAACACAGAAAACAGTATGTATCCATTAATCATACATAGTAGAGACATGTCAAAATATGCACAGAAACATAAAAGTGGATGGGACATCCCAAGATGACTATCTCGGACGAGCAGAAGAGGCTGTGTAAAGGTACTCTAGCCTCACCTGGGATATTTGTTCATTTTTGTTTTTTTTCTGAGATAGGTTTTCTCTGTGTAGCCCAGGCTGGTCTCCAACTCATGTAGCTTCCTGGATACAGGCATGTGACAGTGGACTTGCTTTATGTTTTAAAAAACAAGATAAATCAAACATGACAAGACAGTATAGTTCAGCCCAGGAAGCAGGACTACAGATAGCTCTTCTCTTTTTGTTTGTTGCTTTGTTTTTAAGTCCCCCTACCAACCCCCCCCCACCATTTGGGCGGGGGCAGTCTCACTATGTACTCCTGGCTGGTCTAGAACACGTATGGACCAGGCTGGCCTTGAACTTGTGATGATCCTCCTGCTTCTGTCTCCCCAGTGCTAGCTTGGAACTTGCTATGTAGACTAGGCTGGCCTTGATGTCACAGAGATCTGCCTGCCTCTGCCTCCTGAATGCTGGGATTAAGGGTTTAAAGGAGTGCAACATGCCCTGCTAAAATAAAACCTTTTTAACAAAAGAAAAAGCTGATAGTGTGGTGATGGTGACACACCTTTAACCTCAGCACCCAGGAGGCAGGCAGATCTCTTTGAGATCAAGGCCAGCCTGGTCTACATAGCAGATTCCAGGTCAGCTAGGGCTACAGGGAGACCCTGTCTCTACAAACAAACAAAACCAAAACAGTAAAAAAATCTAAAGAATAACATATTTTCTAATAACTCCTATGAAATTAAAAAAAACTGTGCAACACTGTTTTACTCTAGAAATGTAATAGTGATTTTTTTTGTTTTGGTTATATTTTTATTTATGCGTATATGTGTGTGTGTGTGTGCATCTATGTATTCAGAATTTGGTCCCCAGAACCTCATGGTAAAAGGAAAATGGACTCCAAGTTGTCCTCTGATCTCCACATGCTCACCCCACCTCAAGAAAAAAATAAAAGAAAAAAATGTTTAAAGAGAAAAGAAAAACAAAAGCCGGGTGTGGCTATGGGTGTGCTGTGTACCACCTCACACACACAGAAAATATGTAGAGTCTCTCTGCTTCCTTCCTACCCAGAACCTAAAATCGTCACGTCTCAAGCAGTTAGGACGAGCCAGATGTGCGGTTGATTCTCATTTTGATGCATGGAGGAAGTCCCAGGGTCCTTTCAGTGTGGTATGATAAGAAATAAACTCCAACTTCCTTCCCAGAACGTGCCTGTAAATTCTAGAGAGCCCTCACTGCACACTCATAAAGGCCCTTTGTAGCTACTTTGCAGACGTCCTTAACCCTTTGATTTAATTCCTCACTGTGTCTTCGAAGGTGTCTGAGTGCGTCATCCAGCTGCTATACAATTCTTTAGGAGTGTTTGGGAGGTGGGCGTTAGTGAGAGTGTTCCCCTCCCTCCCTGGGGCTCCTCTTCTAAATAACTGCAGTCACAGCAATCACAACAACATGCCACCCAAATCCAAGGGCTTTTCCACATAAAACCCAGGATTAATCAATAAAATCACCTCGTTTTTCTACTTAAAATTAAAATTTAAAACATCTTATTACAGATTTTTTAAATAAAAAAGAAATATTTAAATATCTATCAAACAGTAGTTTTCATTGCTTCCAAGTTGGTTAATTTCATCCAAGAACTAAATTGGTTTGACTGAGTACTTTTTGTTGCTTTGTTTTCAGAGAAGACAGGGTCTCCCTGTAGCTCCCACTGGCATGGAACTATGTAGACCAGGAGTTCTGGAAATAAAGGTGTGTGCCACTATGTCCAGCAACCTTGACTACTTTTTTAAAAGAAATTATTATTTCTATTTTCTGTGAATAATTACATTACCTGCATGTATGTTAAGTGCACCCATGTTATGCAATGCCCGAAGAGGTCAGACGAGGGCATCGAATTCCCTGGAACTGGAGCTATGGGTGGTTGTTAGCTGCCATGTGGGTGTTGGGAATCAAACTTAGATCCTCTGCAAGAGCAGCCAGTGCCCAACATGGGTGCACTTACACACATGCAGGTAATACATTCATACACATAAAATAAGAACTATTTTAATAATTTTATATTTTTACAGCCATCATGTGGGTACTGGGAATCAAACTCAGGTCCTCTGCAAAAGCAGCCAGTGCTCTTAAATGCTGAACCATCTCACCAATATCCCGTAAGACATGTGGAAGTCAGAGAATGGTTAGATCACACAAGCTGCCACTGTAGAGGGGATAAACACCACCTTATATATTAAAGTACTAGTACTTTCCCTAAGCTGCTAAACTCCTAGTTTGTGAGAGCCCCAAGGTAGCATGAGGCAATAGGATTAACTTTAAAAAAAATTGTTATTATTTTTGTTTTGTTTTGTTTGTTTGTTTTTGAGACAGGGTCTCCCTGTAGCCCCAAGCTGGCCTGGAACTTACTATGGGGACCAGACTGGCCTCACACTCACAGAGATCTGCCTGCCTCTGCCTCCCGAGTGCTGGGACTAAAGGAGTGCGCCACCATGCCCACCTATAAAAGTTTTGTTGTGTGTATGAGTGTATTGACTGCATGTAAGTGCACCTGTGTTGTGTAATGCCTGTGGAGCAGAAGAGAGCATTGGATCCTCTGGAACAGGAGCTACAGATGGTTGTTAGCTGCCTTGTGGGTGCTGGGAATCGAACCCTGGTCCTCTGCAAGAGCAGCCAGTGCTCTTATCCACTAAGCCATCTCTCCAGTCCCCTATACAGGGTTTTAAGCAGAACAGTCTGCTGTTGAGTTTGGAACCATCACTCCAGTGGCAAAACAGTGGGGACGTCTATTCTGTGATATTGTATCACTCACTCTACCAGGGGCCGGGCTTTCTAAAGCATCTGTAGAAAATTCATGAGGCTGAAAAGGATGGAAGAAAGCAGTCATCATCTCCTCCGGGCTTTCCTGAGCTGTGATGGAATCTGGTTTGCATCCTCAAGACAAGCAAGCTTCAGAACCAGAGTGTCTATGTCCAGTAGTCGGAACTGTAGACACAGAGCATGTTCACTTTGCTGCTGTTAGATGCAGAATTCTGTATTTGGAGAACAGACGGGAGGGCCGAATGAGAAAGAGCTAGCATGCTTAAGGCTGGTGAAATTATTTATTTCCTTAAACGTTTTTAATATCTTTTATTTTTCTTTGAACTTTTCCTCTGTGTGTTTTTATAAGGAAGGCATGTTTCCTCAGAAAGATTCAGAGTTCTAGTGAGCTTAATAATGCTGAGCAAAGCCAGGCGTGGTGATGGAAGCCTGTGATTCCAGTGTTTGGGTGGTGGGAGCAGGAGGAGCAGGAGTTCAAGGCCAGCCTGAGATAAATGAGACCTTGTCACCAAAATATGCTAATTAAATAAGTAAATAATCATAAATTTAGGCAAAAGCTTTGACTCTTAGACAGTAGTACATTAAAGGCACGCAAAGCAAAAACCCCTTTCAATCTGGAATTTGGTTTTTATTTTAAAATACATTTTAGCATAGCTGTCATAGAACAGAAAAATAACAAAACACAAGAAAATAGTTTATTCTCAAACACTTTTAAAGCTACACACAAAAATGAATTGATAACAGACCCAAAGTGCAGGGGAAACTCCTTCAAGCTTAATTTACTAGCCACACCTTTTGAAAGAGAATCCCCTTTCCCATTTCCTAAGCATCCTGCTTTCTGATCTAGTAGGGAAAGAGCCCAAATTTAGTTGCTTAAAATGATCAGATTCAATTTTGGTAAAAATTACCATGTCCTTAAATTCTCAATCAGAATTATAAAAATATGAGTTCAAATAGTTATGCTGCCCAAAATAGAAACATCTCACCTCTGAATAACCACAGATATTGCACTGAAATCAGTCACCCCATACTTGATGCCCATTTATCTGGAAAGTTCTCTTCTTTAATGAAAAGCTTACTACAAATGAATGCCATGCTATCCTAGTTACAATCACACTTCAAAAGACAGAAAAAAAAAAAAAAAAACTTGAGACTACACCCAAATTTTGCATTGTAAAAATAATAAAAAGTTGGAAAAATAATAGAATCTAAACTACTGATACTTCTTTTGGGATCTTATAATTTACCTTAGGTTGCTAACAGTAGGTATTAAAAGTTAACAGTGAGAAATCCAATCCTTTTCAAATAATTAGAAAAATGGCTTGTTTACATAGGAAGCATATGCACTGTCCCATCTATAAATCTTAGCTACATTTCCACTCACTGGAAATATTAACCTGCAGTATAAACCATCAAGACAATGTACAAAATATATATAGTTCCTATAACTTACAATACACTGAAAAATACCTACAACAATGGAAATATTTATCCATTTAACTTTCCAATAAATTAGTGAGAAAATTTAGCCACTCCATATTTCTTTCTAAGATTAAAGAGTTAAGGGTAGTTTACTTCCATCTCCATTAGTTTGATATATATTTTTAAAATATTTGCCTGCTCATATAACTTAAGATAGAATTAGAGTTTCACTTTTATATCACAGTATACATGGCATCTCTTAATTTAGCAACAGAAAGGCACAGTTTAGAGCAAGCAATAAAATTCAGTACCTGAATTATTAAACTGATGTTCAATACAGTTGGAAAAAAGTACATTCAACACAGTGCACAAAACTTAAAAAAAGGAGAGAGATCCAAAAAACAAATTTTCCTGAAAATTTGGTCCATTAAAAATGCCTCCCATGTTCAACACCATGGGTCAACATGAAAGGTGATGGCAGTGTACAAACAGGCAGTAAATCAGTATGTGGTGCATATGGATGCTATCTAGTAAATATCAATTCAACTAGGAAATGGCTCCCATAGGAAATAAATGTCAAACCTATTTGTTAACAACATACCTGTATTAATTCCGAATATACAGGCACAATTGCATATTATTATTGATTTTATAATACACCCCAAAGAGTTCTTAAAAACTT